GATGATGCAAGAAGCTTATGAGCCCCACCCCCTTTTTATATTAATCAAGAAGGTTTTTTTTCTCCAAATAATTCAATAAGTTGTTTTGAGGCCAATTTATTTATTCGAACAGTAACAGTAGTCTGAAGCAAGAAACATATGCTCATGAACGACCTGTCACAATAAAATAGCACAGAACAAGGACACAAAAGCACACAAACAAACGGTTAAAGAATAATCCACAGTCAATTATTATGCCATATTCTTTCTCTGCTTTTGACTTTTTTTCACCAAGAGCCAAAGCGATTTCCTAGTCTGTGACTTCCTGTTACTTACATGGCAATAAAAATGATTCTGAGTAATAAAAAGTGGAGTGTTGACTTTCCAAGTAAAGGCAAATCATAAATACCCTAGATAGTCAATCATTCCAAGGCACTTGTAGTCAATAGTTTAGAGAGTTAAAAAGGTTTTATTTTTATTTTTTAAACAAATGATGACGAATGATAGGGAATAGATCGTACAAATAGCAATGTCTTATTGAGATTATAGCCTCACTGACCAGAGAGAGTCCAGAGAGAGAAGCCAGAGAGAGAGACCAGAGAGAGAGAGATACCAGAGAGAGACGAGAGAGAGAGACCAGAGAGAGAGACCAGAGAAAGACCAGTGAGAGAGAGATACCAGAGAGAGAGACCAGAGAGAGACCAGAGAGAGACCAGTGAGAGAGAGATACCAGAGAGAGAGAACAGAGAGAGACCAGAGAAAGACCAGTGAGAGAGAGATACCAGAGAGAGAGAGATACCAGAGAGAGAGACCAGAGAGAGACCAGAGAGAGACCAGAGAGAGAGACCAGAGAGAGACCAGAGAGAGACCACCAGAGAGAGAGACCAGAGAGAGAGACCAGAGAGAGAGACCAGAGAGAGAGACCAGAGAGAGAGACCAGAGAGAGAGACCAGAGAGAGAGACCAGAGAGAGAGTCCAGAGAGAGACCAGAGAGAGACCAGAGAGAGAGACCAGAGAGAGAGACCAGAGAGAGACCAGAGAGAGAGACCAGAGAGAGACCAGTGAGAGAGACCAGAGAGAGAGACCAGAAAGAGAGAGAGACCAGCGAGAGAAAGACCATATGAAAAATCATGTTTTCAGGGAATTGTCCTGATGGTAGATGAACCTCTGCCTCATGGCTTTTGCAGACACAGTAGACAGCTTTGGACAATTTTGTCCTATATTTTACTCAATCCACCCTCTCCTGCTCTGATAATCTTCCATGTCCCTGCAGAAGAAAAGCAGCCACATAGCATGATGCTACCACCACCAGGTTTGACATTGGGATGGCGTCAGCAGTAAGCAAAATTAGTTTTTGATTACACAATTTTTTTGTTTCATGACAATTTGCTCATGTCTCCTGCTTGAATATTTGTTGCTTTCCTTCAACGCTGTATTTATCTTTACCACTCTTCCATAAAGCCCAGGTTGGTGTAACATTTGCTCTTTGTACTGATTCCCTAAGGTGAACTGTGAAGCTGCGGTTTTCAGTTTTCAGATGATTTGAACTTGAGAAATCTTTATATAACGATATTTTAAACATTTTAAACATCTGACTTCATACCTAACCTCTCTGGTGTGTTCTTTGGACTTGATGTTTTGACCAATAATCTGTTTTTTTTTTTTTTCAAAGACCCTCTGAGGCCACAGAAAAGCTGTAATCATACTGATACTAGATTACACTCAGCCTGACTCGACTTAATAGTTGGCAAGACATTTAACCATTCATCAATCATCAATACACGTCCAGGGGCAGTTGGTGTCGCCCCGTGAGAAAAGAGGACTTTTAGACATATGTAATTGTATTTCACTTCTGTTGCGTCACTTTGTTTTGGTCTTTCACAAATTGAAAGGTTTGTGGGGTAAGAACATATTTGCAGTAGCATTAATCTTGTTTCTGAGGTTTTAGACGCTGTATCTAAAGGAAATCAGTGTGTAGTTATGATTTCAACTCTTATGATGGAATTGTGTTTATGGATGATAAAGAGAGAACATTTTGACTACAATACATATACTTCACAAATAATTGTTGTCTGCCTAATGTCTCATCCTTTATGTTAATTTCATTTGATCCATACTATATTTCTTGAGGTATTGGTTCATCTTCTTGTACTGTGTGTTGTTGGTATGGTCCCAACTTTCCATTCGTGCTCAAGGCTACCGCTTTCAGAAAGTTTCACTATTTTCCTTTAATGGTAGAGAAATGAATCTATAAATGCTTGGTAGAATTGACACATCAGAAAAACTCGAGCAAAGTCGTAGCCCTGACACAAGCCGACAGTTATGCTGCTGTTGGTTTCTGGAAGTGTCAGGTCCTGGTCTCCGCTCACGCCTCTAAACTTCCTCTTGTGAGAAAAAGAGAAGCTTTTGTTTGTCCGCAGGCGCACACAGCTTTTTGTGAGGCCAGTCCAGCGTAACAGTGATAAACAGTGATATATAGGGTCGTGACCCAAGCACAGGCCTGGCCCATAGAGAGCTTTACTGTTGGGTTAAAATAAGAGATCCTTTATTGTCCCACAGTGGGGAAATGTCAATGTTGCAGCGCACAGACATGACAGTAGTAAGAGCACACAGGGAGCACAGCAAATATACAATGTAAGTAGTGAAGAAGATGGCAAAGTCTGGGATCGTGTCTTTAATTCACACAGAAGACATGTTTTATTGTTGATGGTAGAGCACGAACAAAGAATGTTACAAACTGCAAGTGATAACATAGCATGGAGGAATGAACGCCGTCCAATCAGCTTTCGCTGCGATGCCAGTAGCTTGGCCTTCAGATAGACAAAACATGCAGTGGAAAAGTACTGGCTTCTGCACATGTTAAAATGAAGAGTTTGAACTTTAACCATAGTTGCTTCAAAGTGTCATGAAATACCTAAAGTAGCTAGTTAAGAACAGCTATGTTTCTTAACTAGCTGTAAAAGCTTCAAAATCAATATGTCGATATATCATCCATATATATAGTGCAAAGTTATTTACATATAGGGCAGATATATATGTGGATAAAGTGACATTCTGAAGTTGAAGTATTGTACATTATTGCAGTATTTACTGAATGACATGCACAGGCTCAGCAGTATTCAGATTCAGATGTTCAAGTTTACAAGTTGCAGAATTTAAACTGTAGTTGGCAGATGTTTTGTCTCAAAGGTCGATATTAAAGGAATACCAAAGCAGCAGATGCGATGTGACATCACTTTGTGAATTTAATACTTGACCTACAATCAAGTCAAACCAGAGCAGCCAACTAAACACAAGAGTATACAATGTCATTTGATGTTTCAGACGAAGTCTACAGGAAGAATCTCAAACATGTCAAGCAGGTAGACAACCTGTCTGATGTTGAGATTGTTTTGTCTTGTTTGTCGGCATGACCACCTTTGTTCCTCAAGAAGAGCTGCTTGTTCGAAGTTGTGGGCTTCAAGATAAAGACTGATACAAACCTGATTTGTATAACTTATGATATATATATATACAACAGACCTCATTTATGAAACTTGATCACATATCTGAGCATACGCGGCTGTTGATAAATGCTGCGGTGAAAACTAGCGTATTTATGAAAGTCACGCCTAGAAATATTCAGAAAACGCCCCGTTTTCACGACAAGTCAGCATTGAAGCCGTCTAGCAAGTCTAGTTGGAAGCCTCAGAAGGCCTGTTAGTGACACGCACTGAGTTTATATTGAGTTGTATTGTATTATTTTGTTAAAAAAACAAAACCCCGCTGTATTATATTTACGCATTTTTTCCCTAGTGTCTAGACCAGTGGTGGGCAAACCCCGGCCCGTGGGCCAAATGCGGCCCTTTGGATGCTTCTATCAGGCCCCTGAGCTCGCCTCAATTTATATAGATTAAGATTAAGATCAAGAGAGATTAGGATTAAGAACATTTATTCATCCCACAGTGGGGTAATTTCAGTGTAAATATCATACAATCCCCCTCTGTGCTGTGTTCAGAGCTATTTTTTTCATATAAACCATTTATGTTTTAAAATGAAGCCTTAGAAAAACATTGAAATATCAGACGGCTGTGGAGATCCGGACTTAATTTCCAATGTGGCCCTCAGGAGGAAAAGTTTGCCCATGTCTGGTCTAGATCCACTGAAGCGCTCATCTCTTTAGAAATGAATGAATGAATGAAAGAATGAATATTAATATCTCAGCGGTGACTCTCATCTGGGTCAAGCGTCAGCGACATCTTCTTGTGAATGCAATGGAGCGATCTCTGTGAGAGAGAAAGGATGCGTCCGTGATATCACAGAAAAACTCCAAAACGCACCACGTATGGCGAATGCGGGATCTCTGTGACACCAGCTGCGCACTGCCCGTGAGCCCGTTCCCACACAAAAAAAGCGCTTTGCCATATCTCTGCCATCGCTGCGTTTATGGAGCTTTATGCACAAAACTAATGAAGGAATACGTTGTTTTGCCAGAGGTGAATGAGACAAAACAAATAGCCATTTGTAATTACGCCGGGTCTGCCACAGATTTACGGAGTAATAGATGGCCACACAAGTAAGTAAGTAAGCCAGGTGTATTTGTATAGCGCCTTCACAGAGCAGGATCACAAAGCGCTTCACATAAAAAAATAAAAAACATACAGATGAAAATAATACACACACAAGTCAGATTTAAAAACGAAGAAACAGAAGAGGGTTCTCATCATGAACGTATCATGAACTGTGATTTATTCAAAATGTGCATGTTTCCAGAGGTTTAAAGTTTTTATGATGCGCAAATTCAAACTTAGAAACATGATACTCAATGAAAACAACAATGAGAGAGGCGCTTCAATGGCTGTAAATATGTGTATTTACTCGTAACTATGTTAAATCTTTCCTGGTAGCTATGGCAACTGATAAAAGTCAATCAATCTTTTAGTCTTTCGACATAAAACCTAAACTAAGTTCCACATCTTCTTTGTCAGCATCAACTACAGTCTATTCAGTTCTCATAAATGTGTCTAGAAATGGTAACATATATGCAGCCTGAGTCCTGCACCGTGTGGCCTTGGTTCTATAGCCCGTTCTATAGCCCGTTCTATAGCCCGTTCTACAGCCCGTTCTATAGCCCGTTCTACAACCCGTTCTATAGCCCGTTCTACAGCCCGTTCTACAGCCCGTTCTACAACCCGTTCTACAACCCGTTCTACAGCCCGCTCTATAGCCCGTTCTACAACCCGTTCTACAGCCCGTTCTACAGCCCGTTCTACAGCCCGTTCTATAGCCCGTTCTAGCCCCGTTCTACAACCCGTTCTATAGCCCGTCTATAGCCGTTCTACAGCCCGTTCTACAGCCCGTTCTACCACCCGTTCTATAGCCCGTTCTATAGCCCTGTTCTATAGCCCGTTCTATAGCCCGTTCTATAGCCCTACAGCCCGTTCTATAGTTCTACTTCTATAGCCCGTTCTACAACCCGTTCCTATAGCCCGTTCTATACAACCCGTTCTATAGGCCCGTTCTATAGCCCGTTCTATAGCCCGTTCTACAGCCCGTTCTATAGCCCGTTCTACAACCCGTTCTATAGCCCGTTCTATAGCCCGTTCTATAGCCCGTTCTACAGCCCGTTCTACAGCCGTTCTACAACCCGTTCTACAACCCGTTCTACAACCGTTCTACAGCCCCGCTCTATAGCCCGTTCTACAACCCGTTCTATAGCCCGTTCTACAACCCGTTCTATAGCCCGTTCTACAGCCCGTTCTATAGCCCGTTCTACAGCGTTCTACAGCCCGTTCTACAACCGTTCTATAGCCCGTTCTAACAGCCCGTTCTATAGCCCGTTCTACAGCCCGTTCTATAGCCCGTTCTATAGCCCGTTCTATAGCCCGTTCTATAGCCCGTTCTATAGCCGTTCTATAGCCCGTTCTACAACCGATTCTATAGCCCGTTCTACAACCCGTTCTATAGCGCCCGTTCTACAACCCGTTCTATAGCCCGTTCTACAGCCCGCCTATAGCCCGTTCTACAACCCGTTCTATAGCCCGTTCTATAGCCCGTTCTAATAGCCCGTTCTATAGCCCGTTCTACAACCCGTTCTATAGCCCGTTCTACAACCCGGTTCTATAGCCCGTTCTATAACCCGTTCTATAGCCCGTTCTATAGCCCGTTCTATAGCCCGTTCTATAGCCCGTTCTACAGCCCGTTCTACAGCCCGTTCTACAGCCCGATCTATAGCCCGTTCTATAGCCCGTTCTATAGCCCGTTCTATAGCCCGTTCTACAGCCCGTTCTACAACCCGTTCTATAGCCCGTTCTACAGCCCGTTCTACAGCCCGTTCTACAACCCGTTCTACAGCCCGTTCTATAGCCCGTTCTATAGCCCGTTCTATAGCCCGTTCTATAGCCCGTTCTACACGCCCGTTCTACAACCCGTTCTATAGCCCGTTTCTATAGCCCGTTCTACAACCCGTTCTATAGCCCGTTCTATAGCCGTTCTATAGCCCGTTTACAGCCCGTTCTACAACCCGTTCTATAGCCCGTTCTATAGCCCGTTCTACAGCCCGTTCTATAGCCCGTTCTACAGCCCCTTCTATAGCCCGTTCTATAGCCCGTTCTATAGCCCGTTCTATAGCCCGTTCTATAGCCCGTTCTATAGCCCGTTCTATAGCCCGTTCTATAGCCCGTTCTATAGCCCGTTCTACAGCCCGTTCTATAGCCCGTTCTATAGCCCGTTCTATAGCCCGTTCTACAGCCCGTTCTACAGCCCGTTCTACACCGTTCTACAGCCCGTTCTATAGCCCGTTCTACAACCGTTCTACAGCCCCTTCTATAGCAGTTCTATAGCCCGTTCTATAGCCCGTTCTATAGCCCGTTCTATAGCCGTTCTATAGCCCGTTCTATAGCCCGTTCTATAGCCCGTTCTATAGCCCGTTCTACAACCCCGTTCTATAGCCCGTTCTATAGCCCGTTCTATAGCCCCGTTCTATAGCCCGTTACAGCGCCTTCTTAGCCCGTTTCTATAGCCCGTTCTATAGCCCGTTCTACAGCCCGTTCTATAGCCCGTTCTATAGCCGTTTCTACTAGCCCGTTCTATAGACCCGTTCTACAGCCCGTTCTAATAGCCCGTTCTATAGCCGTTCTATCCCGTTTCTATAGCCCGTTCTACAGCACGTTCTATTAGGGCCCGTTCTATAGGCCGTTCTATAGCCCCGTTCCTACAGCCCGTTCTACAGGCCCGTTCTAATAAAGGGGGGGGGGGGGGGCCCGGTTCTACAGCTCCGTTCTACAGCCCGTTCTACAGCCGCTCCGCTCTATAGCCCGTTCTATAAGCCCGTTCTATAGACCGTTCTATAGGCCCGTTCTACAGCCCGTGGTCTCTAAACCCGTTCTACAGCCCGTTCTATAGCCCGATTCTATAGCCCGTTCTATAAGCCCGTTCTATAGCCGTTCTACACGCCCGTTTTCTACAGCCACGCTCTAGCGCCCGTTCTCTAGCCCGTTCTATAGCCCGTTCTATAGCCCGTTCTACAGCCGGTTCTACAGCCCGTTTCTACAACCCGTTCTATAGCCCGTTCTATAGCCCGTTCTACAACCCGTTCTATAGCCCGTTCTATAGCCAGTTCTATAGCCCGTTCTACAGCCCGTTCTACAACCCGGTTCTATAAGGCCCGTTCTATCGGACCGTTCTATAGCCGTTCTACAGCGCGTTCTATAGCCCGGTTTCTACAACCCGTTCTATAGCACCGTTCTCTAGCCCGTTCTACAGCCCGTTCCTTACATCCATAGCCCGTTTACCGCCCGATCTATAGGCCCGTTCTATATTCCCGTTCTATAGCCCGTTTCTACAGCCCGTAACACTCGTCCCCTAATCCAGCCCCAACACACGTCCCTAACAAAAGCCCTAACACTCTCCCGAATATAGCCCGTACACACTCCCTTAAAAACCCACCATTAACCCCTTTAAAACCTAAAAACTAATTCCCATCATTTTCCTTACATATCCACCCACTATCTTTACACACTCTCTATTATCAACACCCTTCCCACCCTAAATCAACAATCACATTCATTCACCCTTCCTATATAAACCTACACCATCATCTCCCCCACATAATAAAATCAAAAAAAATAACTTTTCCCCCCCCCCCCCCCACCCTCACCCAATCCCCATCCAATCCCACTCCCCATCCATCTTAAATTCCCCCCCCCCCCCCCTACCCCCTTCCAAAACTTTCCAACATCACCATCCCCCCCCCTCATCCCCATTCATCTTTCCCAAAAACCACCCCCCCCCCATAAACAAAACCAACAACCTACCCATTCCACCCCCCATCCCACTCCCATAACTCTCCGTTCCATCCCCCACAATCCATTAACACAATAACCCTCCACCCCCCCCCCCCCCCCCCACCCCCAAATCCCCCCATTTACCTCCTCATCACCCCAAACACCTCTCCCACAACCCCTCTCCCTTCTCCTCACCACCCACATCCCATCTTCTCTCTTCATCTCATTCCTCTCTACTATACCATAAAACTCCTCACTCATATCATTCCCTCATCCCCCCCCCCCCCAACTTCATCTACATCATCCTCCACATGTCCCATCCCCCTCCAAACCACATTACCAAAATACCAAACATCACTCTCCCCATCATCCATTCAAATCAAAAAAAAACCCCTCAAACTCCCACCCCAAATACCAATAACCACCAACCCCCCATCCCTAAAAACTCTATCAAACCCTCTCCCACCCCATCCATTACCCCCCCATCTCCCCCTACATCCACCCCTATTCATCACTCTCCCATCCTATTAATCCAAATATATATACCCACCACCTCCCCACCTATTACTCAATCTTTTCACATTCTACACACCTATACACAATAATTATCCCATCCCACCATTCCCACCCAACCTACAAATTATCCTTTATACTCAACAAACCCTCCCATTAAAAAAAAAAAAACCAAATAATCAAAACCATACCCCTCTAC